GGAGAGCGCCCAGGATCATTCCACAGTGGTGGGAAAGGTTTGGCTCACCGTCCTCTTCGTCTTCCGCATCCTGGTGCTGGGGGCGGCTGCTGAGCGGGTCTGGGGCGATGAGCTGTCTGGCTTCTCCTGCGACACGCAGCAGCCTGGCTGCCAGAGTGCCTGCTATGACAGCACCTTCCCCATCTCCCACCTCCGCTTCTGGGTCCTGCAGATCATCTTCGTCTCTACTCCCAGCCTTGTTTACCTGGGACACATCCTGCACCTGGTGCATCTGGAGGAAAAGGCACAGCAGCAACTGGTGGCACGGGCCAGGCGGCAGCGCCCCAGGCAGCCCCAGCTCCCTGCTGGGGACATGCAGGGACGGGTTTGCATGCGGGGGGCCATCCTGAAGACATACATCTGCAATGTCGTCTTCAAGGCTCTTTTGGAAGTGGGCTTCATTGTGGGCCAGTACACCTTGTATGGGTTCCAGCTGAAGCCCCTCTACACCTGCAGCCGTTGGCCATGCCCCAACACTGTCAACTGCTACATCTCCCGGCCCACCGAGAAGACCATCTTCATCCTCTTCATGTTGGGGGTGGCCTGCGTGTCCCTGCTGCTAAACCTGGTGGAGATCTACCACCTGGGTCTCACCAAGTGCCGGCAGGGGCCAGGCCCCAAGTCCCGCATCCTGCCCAGTCCTGGTGGTCCTGTGCTGCCCTGCAGCACCCATGTCACCCTGCCTGGCAGTGGCAGCCCCATGGCTGCTGACAGACCCCCCCATGGCCTGGCACCCCTGGGGAAGGTGGGTGCATGGCTGGGGGTGGCCAGTGGGTCCCACGGGAAGGCACGAGCAGCAGACCTGGCAGTGTGAACACAGCCTGCTGGGATGCTCAGGGATGGGTGGTGCATGAGTGTCCACAGCTGTCGTTCTGCCTGCAGTTCAGACTTGTGGCATGGACCCCACTGCCAGTGCAAGAGATGGGCACGGCCCTGGGGACACAGCTCAGCTGTTCCCTCTGCTCCTGGGAGCAGTGGGGCTGAGGGTAGGGTTGGGCTGGGGCAGGGGCCTGTCAGCTCTGGGGGAGCAAATAAACACCCACTGCACCTCACTCGACTCCTGCTCTGCCCACGGGCACCGCGGCATCGCTCAGACTGGTTCATCCCATGGACACCGCCTGGCCAGGGCAGGGCCACTGCTGGGTTGGGTTGGGCTGGGCTGCAGCCTTAGGGGCAAGGGATAGGCAGGGAGAAGCAGGGAAGGCACGCCAGGCCGGCAGTAGCAGGAACAGGGTCAGGGGCCATCCCAGCATGCCAGAGCTGGCAGCACACCAGCAGCCAGACAAGGTAGGAAGTGCAGGCAGCACAGGCAGGCAGGGATGGACAGGAGTGAGGTGCATGGCAGCAGTGGGACACTGGCCCTGCTCTCCCACAGCACCTACCCTGCCTAGGGGGGGAAAAGCAGGGGCTGCCAAAAGTTTTCCACATTTTTATTTGAAATGAATGGTTTCCAGAGACACAGGGTTAGTCCTACTGCCCTGGCATTACTACAACAAGACTGGTGAGCGGCTCACTCTTCACATGGACACAGAGGACAGGTGGCCCTGAGCCAGGGCCCAGAACAATATATACAGGCTCAACAGGAGACCCATGTACAGCTCAAGAAATACGACCACAACACGAGGAGGGGCAGGAGGCAGCAGGAAGTGGCACAGCTGAAGCCAGGCTCACCCTAGGCAGGGACTGGCACCCCACTCCTTTGGGATGGAGAGGGACGCCAGGCAGAGCTCCTTGCTTCTCCTCACCGCTGCCTAAGCCCCTGGCCAGAGTGAAGGGACCCACTGATGGCACCCTGCACTGGGGAGGGGGGTTATGCTGGGACAGGGTAAAGTGGGGAGAGAGGGGGAACACTGGCCCAGACCCATCTCCATCAGTTTTCCACCGAGTGAGAAAACATTGACTAATTGAGGGAGGCAGCCCCGCCTGTATACAAGGGAGGTGTGCGCATAGCCAGGCCGGGTCTCTGCCCTCATGTTCCAGCGCTGGCTGGCTCCACTCCCCACAGCCAGCCCAAACCTAAACCTCGCCCTGCCCCTGACCCAACAGCTCTCAGCCTGCTGGTGGTCCTTCACCACTGGCTTGAAAACACCATTCTGCCAGAGCAGCAGAGCTACTGTTGCTACCATGCCACCTGTAGTCTTGCAAGGGGGATGCTAAAGGAAGGGGGAATTAAAAGCCCCGGAGCTGCTGGTCCAGACAAAGCTCTGCCCTACTGTGCGGTTCCTGCCCCAGGACATGGGGAAAAGAGGGTAGTGTGGGGGCTGGGGGGCTGGGGGCACAGG